GATGTGGGGACTTATTGAGGCTTTGAAGGGAACATAATGTCTGTAAATGAGATAAAAATGAAATGACACAGATACTGTCAGAAATTCACACAACCTTGCATTAGGTAAACAGGCATTTTAATATTTTTAGTCATATTTACAAACATATCACTTTTGACAGAAGTTGGTCTAGGCAATTCCACAACAGAATAGAGAGATCACAATGCCAGGTGGATGTTCCCATTGTGAGATAATCAGATAATTCATTATCCTATTATACTTCATGAAGTTTACAAAACTTGACGTCTATGGGTAAAAATTGCAAAAACATGATAGTTTTAAACTTGTTAAATTGACATTATGGAAGATTCGATTGAGACGTGTTAAATTGGCATTATGGAAGATTCGATTGAAAGCTGGCAGTTCTCACTATAGATCAAGACCTGCAATAGGAAGAATTAGCTCTTGCATAATGTATGGTTTAATGGCTGAATTTGGTATTTATAGTCTTCCAATTCAATGTCATCAAGGCACCTGTTTTTGAACTCTCCAGCCCGTCCTTGATCTTGCCACATCAGTACCTTTGCTGTTTGAGTTCTTTCTAGAACGTCACTAGTTGCTCTGTGAACAAAAAGTGTTTGAACAATTTTAATGGGGAAACTTCATTAAGGTAATGGATTTGCAGATGATGCCTGATCATCTGTATTTCGGACCTAAATTTAACTCTTTTTTATCACAGACGGACGGACAACCCCATTTTAGGCGGGGAACAAAAATATTATGTAAGCAACTCCGCATAATCTTCATAATTGTTGGCGCAGGGTACAAGATCTAGTATTATAATTTTGGAGACATTGGCTGAGGGAATTCTTACCAACGGCAACAGAGACTTTAGAGTAGATGATATGGTTATTTTGATAGATCAAATAATCGTATAGGACATTGTTTATAGACAGTAATCGTTGATAGAACTTTAATCGTAGTTAATAATTTCATCGTTTTTGTTGTTGATATTCAGGTTATTTCTCATCAAAGGGGGGGGGGGGAGATGTTCGAACCATGTGCTCGCGTTCACGGTGGACCTTATGTTTTAAGGGACTAAGGGAACTAACTCCGAGGGATCAGTGACGTGTAAGCCATGTGGAGGGAATTTGTATTGTCTACGATATATATCACCTTTGTCTACGATAAACTCCAGGAACGACCGAGAATATGTCCTTTAACTCGAACCATCCAGTTCAAATATTTCGATTGTATAAATGTTTGTAAAACTCTGCAATAAACATAGTCTTGAATATATTTTATTTGAATTTGTTAATTTACATTCATGCTTGACAACGACTTCTTGAAACTTAGTTATCTAATAAATAAGTAATTATTCTCCATAATGATTTCGTCTTACAGTTTCCACACTAAGCCATTATGTTCGTTTACAAACCAGTCTTATTCTCATTGCTTACTTTAACAACAATATGGAGGCTTGTTTGTAGCAACAAGATGGAGTTACTTCCCTTCGCCAACCTCCTTCGTATTTAACGATTTTTTGATTGGTCGAGAGAGAGATGGGGTTAACGTCCACTCGACATAACTAGATCATTTCGGGACTAACATATGGCTAATTATATTTCAATAGAAATAACAGTCACGAAGGACGGATAATGTGAATACCAAAGTCATGAAGGGAGGATAATTTGAATACGTGTCTTCCCCATAGATGAACCCAGGGATTATAGTGGGGTGGAACAGAATGAGACCACTGGGGATACCGAGGATGATCTACGGTATTTACGAGGTAATCTTAAATTATACTATATGGGAGACAACTCGAATGGGAGTAGCAAAACAATAGGAAGCAGATTACCATTAATTCCACTTAAATTGTTATGAAGGTAGTTAGTTTCTAACATTGATAGCCCCCCCCCCCCACTTCCCCCAACTTCCAGTTTATGCATGTTGGTTTTAGTTGACTTTTACCTTCATGAAATTGTCATAGAAAGTACATTCTTGAAGATAACTGTGACCGTACTGGCTATACAGGTTCAGAATATATGGAAAATTCCCGGCCAATTAATTTATTCTGGGCATAGTTATGAATGATTGCCATGGAATAGCCTTGGTGTTACGGGTGAACTTTCTTAGAAGAGTCACTCACAGTTCCAGCCCACGGCTATTTCTGAAAATGAACTACCGGTCTATTTTCTGTTAAAATAACATATTACATTTTAGCCAGACATCGATTTGTACAATATTAAAAGAAGGTTGACGTGCCCGAATTAAACCATTTACCAATATACGTATCTAAACTTTTTTATATATAAATTAGACCAGCCAATTTTCCCTGGCAGACGGGGACGATACGGCGAAAATAGTCAGGGTTTGGTTTAAACAATAATTATTTGCAATGTATGTAGAATACGAAAACAAGCATAAAGATGCTTATAAATATCGCTTCTTGAAAATATAATAATGATGAAACGGATATGAAAGATATCGAGAATATATACACATATACATAATCGAATAAAACAAAAATTACAACAACGATGGTGCGGGGTAGTCATCAGTGTCGAGGATTATTAAAGGAGCTAAGTCACTAATATTTGGGACCTAGAAATTGACACAAATGTGTCGCAACGCATACAATAATGTAATATGAATGTATATAAATTGATTTAAATTCAATCGTATCTGTTTTTACTGTAATTTCTAATCAGTTAGGTTCGGCGAAATACACCAGTATTCTCAATCGAATTTCAATCTCTAGCGTCTGGTTTTTCCAGTCTACGCCGATAATATTCATTGGGCATACTCTCCAGATAAGAATATAGCGTCACCGTTTGACATGACTTGTGGAATATGCCTAGCCTCGTTTTTCGAGTCCCTTATAACAAATATCGCTGAAAAGCATTATGGTACACGATTCGTGTAGCAATTGTAAAATGTTTATTTTGTCTTAAATATTGGATATCAGAAGGCCATCTTTTCCCGGTAAGATCACAACATCAATGTTGATTTAAACCGCCAAATAAATCGTGTTTTCAATATCGAAGATTTTGGATGATATTGAGTTAGAGACTTAGCTACTTTAAGTTTAACGGTAAAGACTATAGAAGTTAGTTTTGTATTCAGTATTATATAAATTATGTTTTGGTGTCGTCAGAGTGAAGTACTGCTGTAACACAGGACAGTGTCACATATAGGTTAGGGCTCGTGATTATTGACGAGATAGTGGGTTAGGGTTGGCCCTAGCCCTGTTTACATCTCGTGACCTTGACGAAAACTGAAGGTAGCCTTAATATATTATAGACCTAACTATCAAGTGAGCCAATTAATGATCGTCATACCAGGACAGTCTTTTGGGGGCCCTTGTGACATGAGACGAAGTCTTACATAATAAGCAGATAGACACTCCGCCCACAGTTCGTATTCTCAATGTTCAAATACCGTCGCAATGATAATAAACAAAGTCTTGACTATCATTTCTTTCGTCGGCAGTCTCTGGCCATGTTAGCGTTTAATGCAGATATGGTGAGCAATTTCTGATCCGCTTAGTATCTTATACCAATTTCTTTACACATGGGCACGCATAGGCTATTTCGTGTCATTTATTAGGACTTCTAGTGTGGTGTTGAAAAAAAGACGAAAAATCCATATTCATTTTTGTTCCTATACAATTACAAATTACGCTACATTAGTTTTTCATTCGCGTTCAAAACGCAACCCGAGATAATAAATGCCGCCTTCAAACGATATCTAATCTTGGACGGAAATATTTCGCCCGACTAGGATTTTGTTCAAGATAAAATATATCCCCTGGCTAAAAAATGAAAGCGGTTTATTCTTTCCCTGTAGTTGTTTGTCCCATCCTTAAACCTTAATTGGTGGGGGGGGGGGTCGCATCATAAATTGAAATGTCAGTTGGATTTCGACCAAGAGTAGGTGGAAATGCCACTGCCCGGGCAAAATTTCCCTTATAGCACACTGCTTAGTTTAAGCCCTGTTGGTTCAGAAAAGTAGGACATTCAGCCCCGTTTTATTTCGTTTCGTTTTGTTTCAGTGGCCCCTGTTATGTAATCTGATTATAGTAAGCTGATCGGATGATATTCGAAATATAATTAAAACTAATCAGGAGGTACCTGGTTCGATCCTGGTTTTTGTTGAAAAAGTTCCCCGGGATAATCCTGTGTGCTTTTCCCTTGTCAGTGGTGCAGGAGGAAGGGCTTGGCAAGGACAGCGTCTAGTCCTTTTCTTCATCAACTGGACCGGGGGGGGGGGGCGGAAATTCTTTCCTCGGCAGAACTTTCCGTAATGATTGACATCTCAAATGCGTCATTTACTAACGTGACACACCCTAGAGACCTTTTTTGATAGAAAATGAGGTTTGTGGGGTAACCCGCGAATAATCATCGGCAGAATTTCGACCAGATGTATGACTACTATGTCGTGTGATGAAATGAAAAGTATCATTAATACAGGAGTCAATTTTGAGCCATAACTAATCGAGTCATAACTGATTTTGGGTTCAATAGAATAAAATTAGTTGACAAGCCAACATTAGATTAAATAATAATAGCTTTTAACCGGGTTGTGCACGGATGAAGCCCCGAACCGGAAGTAGTTTAATTCCGAAAGTGATAATACAACGCCACCAGGCAACTCCCCGGTTCATACTGCGCTTGTATCCCAAATGTCAGCACGGCTAACCGTAACTCAACCCTAACCTGAACCGGAAATGATACAACTCCAAAAGTTGAAGTGCAACGCCTCCAGGCCCAAATCATTCCCCGCGCTCCAGCTGTCCTTATACCTCAAATTTCAGCCCCGGGTAGCACTAGTGGAGCCACCGACCCCAAACGGACGAACCGACAAACGACAGTCACACATACAGTATATACATAAACCATCGCTGTTCCATCGGGGCATTTTGAAAGATAAATCAACAGGAAGATGCTAAATAAGATTTATTACAAAATTCAAATTTCTTTCTTAGACAATATTTGAATTGACTTAAATACCGGTAACCGATTTAATCCATTCCATGGCTGGTTTTACGTAAGAGACGAGAAACAGACTACCGGGATCACATTGTTCATGGTTTGGTCTGTTTATTAAACCCTCTAGTGTCCATTTACCTTGGTCATTTTTACACACCACCATTCCACCATTATCACCCTAAAAATAAACATTGTTAATTTATTTAATATATAAATGAAATGAAATAGGTTTAAACGTCCTACTTCTCTGTGCCAACTGGGATTCTTCGGACGGGCTTATGCCACACATTGACGCCACGGCCTACTCTTTTTTCCAATTTCTACTGTCAATACATCATTACGTGCATGCCAACATGTTTGGTGGGCCTCGGGTTTCACCCATACGAACGACTGGGCGCTGTTATAAGCCAGGCTCTCCTTCCTGCGCTACTGACATCGAGCAAACATGTTGAAATATCCCGAGGGGATTCTCAGCAGGGACCGAACACGAGACCTTCTGATTAGTGAGTCAGGGTTTCGCTCACAGAGTTCATTTTAATGAAATGTTCCCGGAGCACGTTCCTCTGGCACGTTCTAGAAGGGGCGAGGGGGCCTTTGGGCTATTTTTTTGAAAAATACATGCTATATCACCGGAAACTGGACGAGGTTACTGCCAAAACACGGAAACTGACAAATTAGACTGTGCGGGGGCCTATGGTCCGTGCTTATATATTTATTCATACTGATGACTGATGCAACTGAAGAATATTTTTGCCCAAATTGAAACTTTCTGAGAGAACTTCGGTTTTTTTTTCTCAGAACACAGTTTTTTCGCTCACCAAAGCACGTTAAAGAGGGTCCTGATCTCTCACTTACCCACCGTGTTTCTACTAAAGGAAATTATCAATTTTATTGTTACGATTAATTTGTCTCTTACCAGACAGACATTGGTTTCTGGATTCACAGCCTTCGCACAGGTGGTTAGTGATTTCATGGGACCGGTTTCATTAAACTCTATACCGTATACTGCTTCACAAACAGCCGGGCTATACACCATTATATCTGCTGCCACTAATTCGTCTGATATTTCTAGACAAAACAAAACCAATATTCATTATCTTTATCAATTAAACAATGAGTGTATTCTGTTGATAATTATCATTTCAAAACGGCATGATAATGGAGAAATCGACACTGATTAATAAAAATGAAAAGTCTGTATTAAGACCAGAAGAGGGCAGTCTAGACTCAAGTTCAAAATAGATAATGAATTCAATGGCATGAGAAAATGGGCTCTATTGGCTAGAGGTCCGTAAACATAGCCTGGAAAACATAGCCCTGTAGATAAATGTTAAGTATGTTGGTAAATTACTACAAAGAAAAAGATTCATTATGCAAGAGCTAAATTGCCTATTGTCGTCAGTGTTTTTGGCTTTAAATGTTACATAAAGTATTATTAAGACATTTATTCACATGTCAAGCCGATAATCAATTCTCTAGAACATGATGGCTTAGATATTGAGAAGATTAGACAATGCTCGCTATATCTGCGTTAAATATCTGACGGGAGACTACTGATGACAATCGAGACTTCGTTGATTATATCATGGCACAGATACTTGACAATCGTGAATATGAACGGTAGGCGAAGTCTCCATCTTCCAATCATTTCTTGTCAAAACTTCAAACACATTATTTTTCATTATCTATTTTTGAACTAGTAGAGCAATACCAATCAGCTATTTCTCTAAAGCATCCATAATGTATATTTAACCAGAAACTGGGGGAGAATAAACTAAAAGCTAAGTTAATAATCGGTAGGAGCAGTGGCATCTTAATTCCCCCACCCCCACCCCATCTCCAACATCATATTATTATGTTTCCATAAAACGTGTAGATTAGAGCTTTGTGTTGGTTGGGATCCAGGTCTGCGCCACAAATAACCATGGACGCTCTGAATTTTTCACGATTTTCTCGCAGCGGGCGGGGAGTTACCAGAAATAATTGTATCTTAAGCCGAGCGCACACCGATTCAAATAAACAAGCGCGTTAGCTACACCAATATGTTTCTGTTTATTCTTTATCTGAATTAGTGTGCGCCCGGTTTAAGTTTACAGTCTTTATCGCCGCACATTGATACGAAAAATACCAGCTATAATATTTTGTTTCCGTTTAATGCTTATTTTATCAAAGTGCACACGGCTTTGGACACAATAATCTTTTATAGGCATTAGAGCATTGACGACATCAAAACACGACAACCTTTTGTATGGAATACAATCACCGGTCTATCAAATCCTTTATTAAAATTCTTATTCTCAGTTAATGTGACTGAACAACAAATTTAAAGGGAATGTCTTTACAACTATAAAAGATTGCTATTCAATTTGAATCAGAAAGTATTTGCTCTTGTCAACTCTTTTTCCGTTCTATAATTAAATGTTTGTTTAGCGTTTACCTAAATGATGGTTTACTATTTTGTTTATCGCCGCACATTGTTACAAAAAACAACCAGTAAACGATTGTGTTTTCTGTTTCGTGTTTATCCATGGGGTATTCACGTATTAAAATTATCTACCCTTGATCCTAGCTTGATTCTACGAACCAATCAACAATTTAGCCTTACTGTTTATGTTTACAACACCATGACGGCATGTTCGCTCGATTATGAGAGAGTTAAATTTGCAAGAAATTTAATTTAAAAGAAATGACATGCATACAAAAAGATATCCTAAAACATATTTTTGACGGGAATGAAATGAAATGGGGTTTAATGTCCTACTGTCCTGCTCCTATACTGGGCTAATGAAGACGGTTTTGACGGGAATGATGTTTTATGTCAGTGTTTATGAATTTAACGATTGTTTTGATTGGTCGATAAAAATAGCATAATCATCAAGGGCAGATAATTTGAATATGTTTCTTCCCCATGGATAAACCCAGGGGTTAGTGGAGTGGGACAGAATGAGACCACTGGGGATACCGAGGATGATATCATAGATACTTGTCGAAACGTCGTGCTTACAGTCGGTGGTTGTTTCCCTTAAAAAATGTATTCTGTCAAAACCATGAGGCGGTAAAGTGCGAATTTAACCATCGTCCATGTCGTTACTGAGTGTAATAAATTGGAAGAGAAAGACTTCCTGTAAGAAATTTAATTAAATCAGAAATAAATCCAGTTAAGAACATCAGCCACTTTTTACTCCTTCATTTTGATCTACATTCAAAAGTCAATTGCTTTTAGTTCTTCATTCTGATCTAGATCAATCATAAACTATCTGTTTGTACTTAATGAGAGTCTTTAGATGTTTTTATATTGCGTATATAAAACATTATACATTAGCCCTACATGTTTATACTTATGTAGAATAAAAGATTATCACGACAATAGAATATAAATATTGGGTAAAATGCAACAAAGGGTTTCTTTCTTATAATTTGACAAAAACATAATACTAATAAATAACACGATGAGATAAAATGATATATATGTTTATACTTCAATGTATACGTGTAAGTTGTATATACCTAGATGTGGATATAATTTAAACATACATTATGCAAGAGCTAAATCGGCTTATTACAGGCCTTTCTTTAGCAGATTGGAATACATTTTTTTGAAAATAATTAAACGTAAAAATGGATAATCGAGACTTTGTTTTTTTCGTACCGACTTTAGTAATGATGATCGAGGCTAGGCCTAAAATTCAATGGCTAAAATCTCCGTCCAGTGTGGAGCAATTTGACTGAAATTTTCAGCACATATATACGTTATATATTTTTTAACTATTATAGCCAGAACTGTCAACTCTTTATCTAATACCCCATATTGACTACTGCTGCTTGTCATCTTTTGGTGCGGTCTCTAATTTTTTCAAGATTGGACTATTGTAATAGTGCCTTAGCTGGAATATCTCAACATTTATTAAAGCGACTTCAAATAATTCAGAACAACTGTGCCAGAATCATCACAAGAACAGCAAAACGTCAACATATAACATCTGTCCTTAAATCGCTTCACTGGTCACCAATAGAGGCTCGTATAAACTTTAAAATCTTAACACTGGTCTACAAGTCTCAGCATGATTCAGCTCCATCCTATATCACAGATCTTATGCAGCCTTATGTACCAAACCGACCACTCCGTTCACAGAATAATCTATTACTTGTTGTACCTTCAACTAAATTAAAATCTTTTGGTGATAAAGCCTTCAGTGTGTATGGTCCACGACTATGGAATGACTTACCTGACAAAATAAAGTGTTCAGAAACAGTTGCTCAATTTCGATCTAGACTTAAGACGCATATGTTCACGATGTATTATCCACAGAAGCCATTAACTTACAGCGTTTAGAGCATGCTCATGGATGGATTAAGCGCTATATAAATGTACATTATTATTATTATTATTATTATAATGCTCCTTTAAGATCATCAAAAAAATCACGAATAACTAGCTTGACGCCTGATGTATGCATTTCCTGAAAACAGTAGGTTGAATGCAAATGTATTTTGATCGTTTCCGTGTAAGCGTTTAGCAGTTTTTTCGCAGCATTTTTTTTCTCGCGTCAATACGTCTACGTTCTGACATGTAAACACGGGTTCTCGTCTACAAAGTCAAATTCAGCTTGCAAATGGAACATTTATTGGACATGGTGTTATAAAAAGGTGGTGACTGAACATAAACAATGTCAAGCTGCAATGTAGAGAAATATTATCTGCACCTATGACGTCATTTGTGTGGGATTCCCGGTTCGTGCTGCCCTTTTTGATGGCCTTAAATTATATATATATAACAGATTATATAACATATATTATAACAGATTCAATCTATACTAACCACCAATATTCGCAGCATTTTTATTTCCCCAACCGGCAATCTTACATTCTTTTTTGGTCCAACAATCTTCCATCATTGGTGTACAAACTTTTCGTATACAGTCTCCAAATTCTAAGGGTGTTTGAAGTTTTAACAAAGCCAAATTGTTAGCTGTAAAAATTTAAAAATAATATTGATTAGCCTATTGTGAATGGAAATGGAGTAGCAACTTAATATTAATTTTTTTAATTGAAATATTTAGTACTGGGTTAATCTAAATTCTCCCGTCGAATCCCTGCCTGGCTGAGCAGAGTTTGTGTCCATAGAATTTTTTTTATTAATACTAATCATCTAATAATATTCAACAGTGGTTAATTGCAGTTAATTGTTATATAACCTTTTGTCCTCTAGAGGGGAAAGCATCGTTATTTAGATATCGTTATTAACATCAGTTGTTTGGAAAGATGCAGTGGAATAAAGTTATACATCGATTCTTCATTCTTCTGACTTTCTATCGAACAACATTAAAGACGCCTAATTTACCTATCAATCAGAAGTTTTCTTCAAATCCCTCTCAAGACATTTGAATCCGAAGAAAACTACCCCATACGGCATTTTTATCAGTCGTATTTGTGTTAACTTCTTTTCCCGCCGTTTAATCGCAGAGTCTACTGAAATTTAAGTCTCTCAATGTCCTAACAACCGTTAACCATTTGATCAACATATGAGTAGCGCCCCTTACGTCACTTGAGCTTACGGGCTCTCAATGAGGGACACCCTTACATTTTTGTTTTGTGGGCACCCAATGGGTGTTTTTCAGGGAATCCAGTGTCTTTCCAGTAAGGCTGGGTGGTCTCTGCTTTCCATATACACCAGATATGTTTTACTTCTATCGGAAATAACTACCCTATTAGTAAGTGCAGGAGGACCGCACTACACGCAAAACAAAAATCTACAAGATAAATCTGCGGACAAGATCGAAAATAGACATTGCACCAAATAAACAAATATCAAATCAATTGAATGGATCCGTCGGCCAGCCATAAGCATCCACAGCGTTGTACAGTCCCGGGCCTGTGGTGACACTTTAGTGGGATGTACCCGATTCCATTTGGGTATGGTACTTACATGTTTTATCGTCGTCAGAGTCAACTAAATCTGCGCCTGTGTAGGTGGATGGGTCGGTTTTAAAATATTCTGGGTGAACAATGGCATCAACTATTTTAACAAATTTCTCATTGTATTCTGTACCGCTAAAATCCGCCTGTTTAGTATTATGTTCGCCAGCCACAGCTAATATGTTATTTTCAATTACTCCAGTTACTGTTCCTACTGATCTAAAGTAAAAGAATGGGGTTAAACTTCCAGTTAACATAACATTCGGCCATAACATAACATAACATGGTAATTTTTTATATTTTAGTTATGTTCGCAATGCTTGGCAGAGCCACGGTGGCTCGGTGAATATGATGCTCAAAAACCAGGTGGTGACCGATTCAAGTTTCAAATCTGGTTCAGCTTGTGATTGGTAGAATATACGAAGAGTGGCAAGTACAATATGAAGTCTTTAATAAAAAAAAACGGGGTCCCTTGTATACCGCTCTCAACACATTAAAGATCATCAATAGTAATACCTTAAACCCCATTTCATTTCATTTCCCAATGCTCGTTACCGAACATTCACCCACTCTTATATTCTTCGCAAGATCTTTTGTGTTTACAAACAAGTACGGGACACCCGTTTTGTCAGCCTTACAGTCATATTATTATGCAAACCAGTCGACGCTATAAATCGAACCACGGTCGATAAGAAAGGAATATCTTTACATTAACTGAGAATTAACGGGGAATGCGAATTCCTTTTGCCATGTTCCTATTCCTGACTGGTTGGTCGAACGGTTGGCGCTTGGACGTTAGATCAGAAGGTCTCTCATTGAGCCAAGTGGCGTAGGGTCGTCTTTCAAACCTCGTGGGTTTTCACTGGGTCGCTCCACCCACTGCTAAAGACCCCTACGCGCAAACGAACCATATGTCAGTCCCGAAATGATCTAGTTTTTGTCGAGAGGACGTTAAACCCCGACTTTCGCTCTCTCTCGCTTTCTCTAAAATAAACCAAAAGATGTATTAGAGAAAGTTCGACTGTACTACTGCTAACAGGGAACCTCTGATTTGTGACGTCATCGGTGTTATCTTAGAATAGTGGCGCCATATCAAAAGCCTATCAATCGATGCGCAATTATGCAAAGAACAAGTTTCATCTCGATCTTACGCAAATTGGTGGGGGCATGAGACTTTTTGGAAGACTGTCGCCCAAAAGACAAACAACAACACAATTACCAAGCGCGTAGAACCGGTTCATCTGTCAAAAAATTAAATTTGTTACTTACAACATAACACAATAAGCTGTTGTAAGAACCCACTGGTTATCTATCAGAACTCCGCTACACCAAGGAAACGTATTAGCGGGACTTATCTCACCAGTACCTATAATTCGACTTCTCACTGATATTTGCCACGGCCAATCACAGGGTTTAGTCATAGAGCCTTTCAGAATACGAGTGGTGGGATTTGTTGGTGCCATGCCACACTCTTTCGCGGGATTCATTGTAGGACCAGAAGGCTGTTGTGTAGTTGTGGTCATTGGTGTGGTAGTTTCTGGTTCAACTGTAGTTGGAATGTCTACATTTGGGAAGAAAACATTTCAGAAATTGTGTTACCGCAGGAGAGTCAATTTTGGTACGACGTAGTTTTTGGGCTCAAGAACAAAGCTACGATGAATCTGGGGAGTCACGGTGGTTAAGTGAGTAAGATGCTGGCTCGCTAGCCTTGAGGTCGCGGGTTCGATCCCGGTGTTGACCGAGAAAGTTCATGTTGATTTTCCGGCGTAGTTTCCCCCCTTGTCAGTGGTGCAGGATGGAGGGCCTGACAAGGACAGCTATCTAGTCGATCGGATGGAACGAACGTTAAAGATCCATATAAGAATAGGCCGTAGCACCGCTGGCTGGGCAAAATTTCCCTCACAGCACACTGTATGGCGTATGCCCGTCTTCATTAGCCCAGTTCGGAGCAGAACAGTAGGACGTTAAACCCCATTTCATTTCATTTCATTTTGCAATGAATCTGGTTTCGTGCTATTCAGATATAGATTTTACGGACGTACGACGTAGATGTGTTTGGGGGGAGGGGGGTCTTTTGGACATATGAGTGATAATTAAACTGACAATCACACGGATTCTGTATAAGGGGTAGTGGATGCCATTTTCGGTATGTTCTGGGAGACAAAAATCTTTAAACTGAGTTGTTTTTCATCTACCTCTACGGAAAGTCAGAGGGTCGTGGTTATGTAGCCGCCAGAGAGAGCTGTAATCTCGACAGGTTAGAGTCGATGCAGTATATTTCTAAGCTACGGTATATGTTTAATAATGGTTGGGAAAACGATTATAAAGCAATGAAAATCAGAATCGGGCAATAACATACAACTCGCAATGAACTCAGTTGATCTTTTTCAAATGAGAAGAATGCGTAAAAATCTCAAGGGGGCGGGAAAGAGTTTGAACCGTGTCGATTTGTAGCACGGTGTATGCTTGACACCGATTCTAAACTCGTGGCGCAAAGGACGCCCATAGAATCTCACCCAGGCCCGTAACTAGAGGGGGAGGGGTGGCGCCCCGTGAAAAAATTGTCGACTATAAAAACAACATATATACATTGTCCGTCATTTTACAGCACCCCTGAGAACACTTCCAGCCCCCCCCCCCTCATTGCCCTGAGCTAGTTATGGCCCTGCTCTCACCGACCAAGGTTTGGGCAGTGTGGAACATCCTAGATTTCCATTTGTAGCATAGCTGAGTCACGGCGAATGTGAAACCGAGATAAATCCGGTGGAGGAAAGAGCGCCATTGCGTCCTTTTCATACATAGCCGTTGATTTTAAAATGAATCTGTACTTACTAGCCGGGTCTGGTATGCAGCATTTTTGCTCAAAACATCCCATTTTTTGAAAGGTTGTGTCAAGAGTCCCAAAACCATCACAACTATCTCGACATTCGGCATGCCTATGCCGGAATAGTACTGGACACACTGAAAGAAAGCAAATTTCAAAAGTAATGTCTTTCACTTTATAATGCTAGGTTCCCACTATCACGATTCGCGCTACGATTGAAATCGTGGTTTTAATCATGGAGTAATCGTGATTATCTTGTCAGGTCTTATCATATATTGAGGTAAGTCGTAGCAATCGGGTTAACCGTATCGAAACTTATCCGAACATATCTGCCGTACCAGATCGTGGACTCAATGGGGACAATCCTATCGTAATGCATCGCACGACAGTGGGGACCTAGCATAAGCGAATAATATCAGATTGTTTTTTAGGTTTCTGAAAAATATTATAATCAAAATATTAAGCCAATATTTCATTTTAAACTAAACAGATTCAAAACTATACAATAGTTCATAGCGATGGGTTATAGTTCATATAGACTTTGTCTGTTTCCTTACCCTAGAAT